CTTTGATGTTCTGCTGCGGCAGCTACGGATCACACGGACACCATGTCGACTGTGGGAAGAAAGTTAATGGAACGGTTTACGGGAGTTCATGTGGGCAGCCTTGGAGGTACATTAGTTGGGATGGAATACACTTCACTGAGGCAGCCAACATGTGGGTTGCGAATCGCATTCTTAATGGTTCCTTCTCTGATCCACCGGTTTCTATCGACAAGGCTTGTCATCGGTCATAACTATAGGTTCGCATACTTACAGGAGTATATGCAATATTGCAGCGGGAGAGTCGACCAGTGAGTTAACTCGAAAAAGTTCTCCATTGTAACTGTAATTTGGTTGCTATGTTTTCTTAGCATGTATCGTTTTTGGGTTTTTTTTATCCAAATATCGCCCATTTAAAATATATTTTTCATTTAGCACTTTTTTTTATTTCTCAAATTATCATTATTTTTTTCACATAAATCAAAAACGTTTTTTTGTGTGGAAATTCTTTCAATAATATGTTTTTATAAGACATACATTGATGATGTGTTTGTGCATATGTATTTTCGACGCGTACCGTGAATAATTTTAAATTTTAATAAATTCTTGTAAAAGAATAAATAATTATACAATACTATTAATTTTTTTTATCAAGAGATACACAGTAATAAATGTAACATGAAACAAGCTATCATAATAATAAATAAAATTATGTTATTAAAATAAAAGAATAATTATCTACAAAAAGAAGATAAAAATAACAATTTAAGAATATATGAAAAAAACTAAAACAGAGAGAATATCTATTTAAATTTTAAATAAATAAATAAAAAATGAAACGATTTAAACCGTAGTTCAATGTAATATTTTCAAAGAAAAATTAAAAAGTGATCACAGAAATAAAATTAAAAAATTACATAATTTTTAATTATTATTAATAAAAAATTATATAATTTTTAATTATTATTAATAAAAAATAATTTTAATATACCTAGCACACATGTAAAAACACAGTACTATATAGTATGATTTGATCAAAATAAAATAGAAAAATACTAGTATATATGGTTAAACAATTACTATTATTGTTCACAGCGGAAAAAAGAGGAAAGGAAAACAAAGCCTCAAAGTTGATAAATTACTAGAAAAAGGTTGATTAAAGAGTAGCATAGCCTTCCTCCTCCCTTCTTCTGGTTGAAAATATGTGCTTCAGATTTCACACAGGGAACAAGCGAATCAAATCCTCGCTCCTTTCTTTTCTTCACTTCTCTCGTAACTGAAAAGTACGGAGAAATCCAAAGCAAATATTTGGAGAAACCAATTCAGCGTCCTCCCTTTGAGTTCGAAAGAGCGACGTGGAGGAAGAAGAAGATGAAGCAGAAGCTTCGCTTCACCTTCTTCTTGTATTGATTTCTATCCCCATTTCACGGCCTCTCCTCAGCATTGCTGCGTTTTCGGTCTCTCTCTCTCTGATTTGCTTCTGATTTTTAGATTGTTTTTCTGTTTAATTGCTGAAAAAAATGTGTATTACTGCATTAGTAACAAATATCTGAGGATTTGATTTTTGTTTTCATTATTTTAACTGGTTAATTGATATTAATCCGAAGGAATTGATTTTTTTCATACAAAGTTATTGAATTCGTTATTTATTTTGTTTTTGTTTTGGTTAGCAGTTGGGAATATACCTTATGATGCTACTGAGGAACAGCTTATAGAAATCTGCAGGGAGGTTGGCCCCGTTGTTTCTTTCAGGTTTGAATTTTTCGTTTCGAATAATGACATTTGGAATCCAATTTGCTTAAAATGATTTAGCTTCAGTTTTCCCTTTTAAGTTAAAAGCTTTTAGGTTTGTAACTATGCCAGAAAAGAATTGGTAGCGGTTACTGAATGCAAAGCTTCTAAAGCAACCTGAGTTGCCTGATTGTTTTAACTCCTTAGTTGCATAATTGATAGTGATGGTTGGGACTAATACAATGACTTTGAGATTTTGAAAATATGTTCGTTAAAAAAAATCTTTTGACCTTGACGGGTAAGAAGGGATTTAAGTTATTGAGGAATATGGAACAAATTCATACACGGGTATTCAGTAAATATCCAGATAAAACATAAATACAGTCTAATAGTTTGGGTGCATCATGCATGAACAATGAAAAATCCCCAGAAAAAATATTTGTTATCTTGATTTGAGTTGAAATTGCTTTTCGGAAGATATTTTTCTATTTTAGAGTTCTTCATTTCTAAATTGCCCTTCTTTCAGATTAGTTATTGATATAGAAACTGGCAAACCAAAAGGTTATGGGTTCTGTGAGTACAAGGATGAGGAGACAGCTCTAAGTGCGCGAAGGAATCTTCAAGGTTATGAGATCAATGGCCGGCAATTACGAGTTGATTTTGCTGAAAATGACAAAGGCTCCAAAAAAAACCGAGAACAGGTGAACTATTTTTTTGTGCATCTTTTATTTTTTGGCCGGGGTGATAAATTTGGCACTACTGGAGCTTTCTTTCTCACAGTGGAACTGGTTATAATGTGATTACTAATTAGATGAACATTGGTCTTGATGTCACAAGCGGTGTGGGTAGCTATTTAGTGTAGTTAAATTTAATTAAGCCTAAAATACGGAATTTCCCTCCATTCCAAACTGTTCCTATCTATATTTTAAGTGTAATTTCAGTTACACTGGTAAAGTATGTTTCTATGTGATATCTATATATCTAAATCGGTACTTATGGATGATCTATGCAAATTTTCTATGCTACCTAGCTTTAGTGTGAAATTTACTTTAATTTTGTGGATGAACATAAAAGGAGGCCTGCTCTTTAGGGTGTATTATATGATACATTTCTCGTTTCACTTAATTTTTTTTAGTTTTTCAATTCCTGTATGTTTATTATTTTATTAGGTAATATATTCCAATTCTTAAAAAAGTGATAGAAAGGTTAAAAAACTGCAATGAGCTTCGTGTTATGGATCAATGCCTCCGCATAAATATCCCTGCTGGAAGAAAGAGAGATTAATCATTATATCTTGGTGGTTACTGATGCTTATTGCATTACAACAAAAGCCCGTATACATGCATATCCTACTGCTTTGGATGATACTTCTTCAGTATAATGGTTTCCTCCTTGAATATGGCTTTGAATATTTGGTTTCCAAAATTAGGTTTTTATTTACTAGTTTAAACAGTGTATCTTGGTCTATTGCAGGCCCGTGGTGGACCTGGACTGGCAACAAATATTGGTTAGTATTTATGGTTCTTTCAGGTTTTTTTCTTTTGGAGGAATACAACATGATTTTCCCCCTTTAACTGACATATCATAGATCCTCAAAAACAAGGAGGTCAAGCAGTCCACGGTGAATCTTTTCACCTGCAGCCTATTGGTCTCCATTCAGCTATAAATGCTGCGGCTCTCATTGCTGAAGCTCTTGGTGGTGTGCAGGCTGGTCTGCAGCAAAAGGCTTTTCTAGGTCAGCCAGCACCAGCTACTGACCCGCTAACGCTCCATCTTGCCAAAATGTCCAGGAGCCAGCTGAATGAAATTATGTCTGAGCTGAAGGTATAATTTGAGCTATACAAACTGTTATACGGAGCTTTTCTCATTTTCCTTTAATTAATGGAATTCTTTCAACAGAAAATGGCTACACAAAATAAGGAACGAGCTCGCTAGCTACTGCTTTCAAAACCTCAGTTGCTGAGAGCTATTTTTCCAGGTATTTTTCATTGTTTGGTGTTTCATTAAAATAAAATATAAAAATTTATTTATCTCAGATATTTAATATCTATCTCATAAATTTCATCCAGATTCCCTTGATTAAAAGTGTCCTCGAGACACTCCAAATGCCAAAAAAAGAAATGAGTTTATTTTCATAAATTCAAACCTTTTATGTTTACAACTTGATGTGTTACTTCTTACATTTTTGTTTTCATCTTAGCTTTAAGTCTCAAAGTATCATTAAGTTGAATTTGAACAATGCTCTCTCTTTCTGAGAAAAGATTGGCAGGTTGTTATATGTTCAGAAACATTGTTTTTATAAGATTGAATAAAATAATATTTATCAAAGTATCATTAAGCTGACTGATTAGTTCTGCTTCAAAATATAGATGCAGTGACTTAAAGCAAATTTGAAAGTGGTTGCAGATTGGTGGTCAAAACTTGACCATTTATCTTTCTGCCACGAGAACAATAAAAAAGTTATGAAGAACCTGTCCATTCTATTGAAAATCAACTATCTTCTGCTAAGGGTAGCCAAAAATCCTAATTGCCTCCTCTTGCTTTTTGTATGGAATGTTGTACATTTTATGATATCTCTACAGGGACCTTCTCTAGTCCTCTAGGTGGTTAATTGCAATCATGGCCCATTATCTCTTGTATGTTTTTGTTTTTTATCTGCACAAATCTTATATACGAGTGGCTTGGACTAAAGTCATTTGTAACTACATAGAGCATACAATTTCCACATCATGAGGTGTGCTTCCTCCAATTCTTTTATTATGTGGACAGTCCACTGATGTATTTTCCTTTTCAAGTGAAAAAAGTACTTGTTCTTTCTTGATTTTATATTTTAGGCTTAACAATACTATGCAGGGAAGAGTGATTCTCCCATTCTTTATGTAGGAACCTTTTTTATGTGTATATATATATATATATATATAAGCTCAATTCATCTTTGCAAATGTATGTGTATAATGTGTTTTGCCATGATTACTTTTTCCTCGTTGCATTCAAGCTATCATATATTTATTAAAGCTATTTTCTGCATTGTTTATTTTTTTCATACGACTATTGTGCTATTTTTTTTGGTGAAATAAAGGTAAAAGAACTAGCACTTAAATCTCTACTTCTAAATTACAAACAGTAGACTCCTCTTGTAGTAAATTAAAAACCTCCAGCGGTGGACTGTAGAATACCGTATGAGCATCTCCTCGTCTAGCAGCAATCCTCTCCAACTTATCGACTACCTTATTCGCCTCTCGATTTATATGACTCAAAGTAACATTCCATTCCCGATTTAATAATTCAAAAACTCAGTCTAGAAGAGATAAAAACGAACCTCTCTTAGTTTTCCCCTGTAGCATCCGAATAACCTCCAAGTTATCAGCCTCTACCATGACTTGTCGTTCTTCAAGGTTCCATGCATGAGAGAGACCTTCATAAATACCCCATAGCTCCGCTTCAACGATAGAGCATATTCCTATTACCTTAGAGAATTCCAAGAGCCAATCTCCATTCGAGGATCGGAAAACACCCCCATATCCGTTTCCTGTTTTACGGGAACCATTTGTATTAATCTTACACCAATTTGGAGGAGGTGGGGACCAAAGAACGGTCCTAGTAAACTGCCGATGGGAAGACTGGCTCCTCGACATAGAAGAATCAAGTGCATGGTTAGCTTCGAGACAAAGACATTTGCCTTGTTCCAAAACAAACTCTTGTTTAATATAATCCGGATAAAAAATTCTCTTATTACGATTCTTCCATAACAGCCAAAGGATCGAACCAAATAATAAATCCCAATCCCGTTCATCGCGTGCATAAAATCCCGGAGAGACGATATTAATTTGCAACCAACTACTTATGTCCCGTGATAGAAAATCATGTAACTTACTGACTTTAACTAGCGAAGACCAGATTCCTATGGCCGAAAAGCAGTGGCGAAAAAGGTGGTCTATCATTTCCCCTGGCTGCCCGCAAACACCACAGTGGTTGCTTGTAGTTAAGTGCTGTCTTACTCGTTCCGTATTAGTTAGAAGCCTATCATTAGCTAATAACCACAAGAAAATTTTAATCCTTTGTAATCCACGATACTTTGAAATCACTTCCCATACCTTGTGTGGACTGTCGTCCGAGTGTTCCTGCCTCATATCGTAAGCAGACTTAAACGTGAAGCATCGGTCAGTATTCCACTTCCACCCCAGCGCATCCTGTTTCTTGCACTGCCATGGGGGCATCGTTGCTGCCAACCTCTGTAAAATATTATTCGGTAATAAATGAGTGATTAATTCCCAACGCCACTGTCCATTGCCGTCCACCATTGAAGTTACCAATCTACATGGAAGTCTCTCTATCGGGTTGATTCGCCACAAAAGAATTTAAAGGCCCTACATCGCTAAGCTAAGCCTCTCGCCAAAAGTCCACACTACGACCATCACCAATATTCCAAACCAAACTTTACCGCACATCACTCCACACTTAAGAAATTGCTTTCCATACATGTGACCTGCCCTTACGCTCGATGGAATCAGGTAACCCACTCCGCCACTTATACTTGGAGCGTAACACTTTAGACCATAGCTTGTCAGCATTAACAACCAAATTAAACGCTAGTTTCATGAGGTAAGCGTCGTTTTGATCGGTTAATTTCTTCATGCCAATACCTCCATTGCTTGTAGGTTTGCAAATATTCTCCCAATGAACAAGGGATATTTCATCTCTAGCCTTAGTCCGACCCTAAATAAACCCTTGAATTAATTTTTCTATTTCTTTGCAAATCCCTTTCGAAAGCTTTGCGGACTACATTGAATAATAAGTGATAGTCGATAATACCGCTTTTGCCAAGGTAATTTTACCGGCCAAAGATAGTGCTTTTGCCTTCCATCCTGCAAGTTTATCACGAACTCTCGAAACGATGTAGCTAAATGAAGCTCTTGTAATCCGAGAGTGGAGAAGGGGTACTCCAAGGTATTTCCCCAAATTTTGGACTTCCTGGAAACCAAATTGTGAGCTAATGGAATTCCTCAAACCCGAATCCACATTCTTTGAATAAAAGATAATAGTCTTTTGGATGTTGATTTTCTGGTCTGAGAACCTACAGAAAAGATCCAATATACTCCGAATTACATAGCATTGTTCAATAAAAGCCTCAGCAAAGAGTACCAAATTGTCTGCAAAGAATAAATGAGAAAGATCAAGTCCATTACGACACAGGCGAATAGGTTTCCACTGCCCATTATTAACAGCTATAGAAATCGCATGCGCCAGCCTCTCCATGCACATCACAAACAAATATGGTGATAATAGGTCACCTTGCCATAATCCTCTAGTTGGCTTAAAAGCTTCAGTCATAGCGCCATTCCAAAGTGCCTGAGTCGAGACTGAAGTTACACATCTTATGATAAGTGTTCGAAAATTCTCCGGGATATGTAACTCGCCTAGCGTATCTTCAATAAATGACCATTCAAGGCGATCATAAGCTTTTTCAAGGTCTATTTTCATCGCCATAAAACCAACTTTACATTTCTTCAATCTCATGGTGTGAACAACCTTTTGTGCGACAATAATGTTATCAATAATCGACCTGTCCGGGACAAAACTTGTTTGAGTTTCCGATATCCAGATTCATCAGAGGTTTCAACCGGTTTACAATAATCTTTGTAACAATCTTGTATAACACAGAGCACAAACTAATAGGTCAAATTTGGCTAAAAGACTCCGGTGCTTGCAGTTTTGGAATTAACACCAATAGTGTTCGATTAATTTCATCATCAAGAACTCCTCCTGCAAAAATACACTGGATCATTTGACATACACTGAAGCTTACTGTATCCCAGCTCCGCTGATAGAAAAACGCATGGAGCCCATCCACTCCAGGAGCCTTTAGCGGACTCATACTAAATACCACTTCATGGATCTCTTCATTAAATAATGGTCGTGTGAGGTTATTCAGCTGAGAATTAGAGATTGTAGGAAAACATCCCTGAAACGGGAATAGCCATCTACAATGCTGCTTGTGAATAAATCCTTATAAAAGTTGACCACCATCGAGCAAAGAGCTTCTTGATCTGAATCCCAACTACCATTCGGTGATTTAAGAGCTCCAATGTAGTTATGTCTACGTCTTCGCATCGTGCACGCGTAGAAGTATTTTGTATTCTTGTCCCCATAAAGTACCTATTGATTCCTCGACTTCTGTAGCCACAAGCTTTCCTCCTGTTGCAATACCTCTTCAAGTTCATTTTTCAACTTGTATTGCATTTCACCAATCTCCGAGAATAGCAAATAAGGAGCGTTTTATCAATGCCTAGTAGTCGTGCCATTAATTCTCTTTTTTTCCTCCCTATATGACCAAACACCTTTAAATTCCAATCACTCGCTTTAGTTTGGAAAGAATTGACATTGGCTAGCATATCCACATCGGTGCTCCAAACTTACGATAAAAAACTCTTAAACTGAGGGTGATCCTGCCATGCAGCAATGAATCAAAAAGGTTTAATTGATTGAGTTCTCTTAATACTCTGCATCTTATGTAGAAGCGGGCAATGATCCGATCCCACTCTATCAAGATGCAACACCATAGTATCAGGGAATGCATTTGCTCAACAATTATTTATAAGGCAACGATCTAACCGTTTACAAAGATTTCCTCTCCTCCACGTAAATTTTACCCCTCGGTAGTCAACTTCAAACAAACCCATCTCAAAAATAAAATCAGCGAACAGTGCACTAATCCCTGATCCACGACTTGCGCCACCTTCCCTCTCTTCCATCCGAAGTATGGAGTTGAAGTCACCCCCAGGATCAACGCTTCAGTCTCGCTTGGAGCAAGGTTCATAAGATAATTCCAAACTAGCTTTCGCTTTTCTAATTGAGGGCTTGCATAAACAACCGTAAAGTAAAGCCAATGAGTGTCATTTTCCGACCAGCATCTTCCATGAATAAACTGGTTCGAAATGGTTAAAATCTCAACATTTAACCCGTCTTCCCAAAGAACTCAAATACCACCACTAAACCCATGAGCTTCAACTCTAAACGAATGCGGATATCCCAACGTCCGGATGACTTTATCAGCAACTATACCACTGATCTGCGTTTCCAGCAATGCAACAATACTAGGTCGATTATTCCGACAATGCTCCCGAAGATAACGTCTAAAGTTATGGCTCACAGCACCCTGACAATTCCAAAAAAGAAAATTAACCATTAAACAAAAAATGCGAGAGAGCCTCATTACTGAGGTAGATTTGGGTTGGCATTCTCTCCATCTGGGACAAGAACTTCTTCAGATACTGAACTCCTCGCTTTCGCTGCGTGAGGTAATGTTTCGTCCCTTCCGTTCTTATGTGGGAATGAGGAACTCTCTCCATGCAACGTTACCTTATCCAGTTGCGCACTAAGGTTAGCATTCCTCATCCAATCCGTTACCACTGCCGGTGAAAATCGAAAATCCTTATTTTTCCTCACTTTGAGTCCTTTGTTCTTCTCCCCCACCTCTATTCCAGTAACCTTACCACGAACCCTTCTACTTGCAAGGCTATTCTGACTATTTTCCGAGATAATAACAGTCGAATGGCTTCCACCCGCTGTAGCTTTTCTATTTTCCGTAACTTGAGGGATCGCCCCAACCTCCATTGCTATCACATTAATCTGCTGCAGAGCTCGACTATCCCCAATATCTTTCTTTCTATTTGAATTTTCCAGCTTGCTATTCCCGACCTCCTTTGAACCAAGAAATGTTGTACCTTTTCCGTTCTCTCGATTCTCCATCCGAGGGGTGTACACCAGACCATTTTTCTTGTTGATATCTGCCTCTGTTACAACCGGAGAAGCTGTATGACTCGTATTAGGACTGTTCTCGATATCATTGAAAATAGCAAACCGAGAGCCTTGCACATCTTCGCTGCTGACTTTAGGATGCAAATCAAGAATTTTCCTAGTGCGCCTTCTACGGGTCTCCGCTATCATCCATGGTCCAAATCCAGCTTCCTCTCCATCGAACGCTTTGTCCATAGTGACACTTGGATCATTCGCTACTTCTCCCTTGCTTGTGTTGCCTTCTACATGGCCATAACTCGTTGGTGTTTGATAGTCTACTCCCAACATCAGGGGAAGTAAAACTTGAAATTCCAGTTCAACCCAAGTTGAGAGGTGACTCTCGTGATTTCATCTCAATATCATATAAGGTGTTGTATGATGAGCTGTTAGAAGCCCGAGAAGTGGCCCCGCATTATGTGAAACCTTTGCAACCTCCATATCCAAGTTGGTATGACGTCAACGTTCATTGTGAATATCATGTTGGAATTCTAGGACATTCTATTGAGAATTGTTCTACCTTCAAACGTCAAGTCCAACTTCTTCTAGATCATGGAGTATTGGAGTTTGAATTGAAAGGACAACCTAATTTGGTAACAGATTATCCTATTGAGTTTAAACCAAAAGTCGCCAAAGGTAAGAGTATCATCGAAGACATCCAGGAGGAAGGTCGTTTACCAAAATACGAAGCTCAGATTCGTCATTTAAGGAGTAAAAATGATAAACTGAGTAGAGAGATGAAAGCCATGCAAGATGATTTTCAAAGGATCAGTCAAGCTTTTAAATTCGCTGGTATAAGAAATGTCCCAAAGGAGTGGATAACAGAGGTCGCTAAATTTAAAAATGACGTTGAGCAATGGAGAAAGAATTGCAAGGTGCACGAAGATCGAGCTAAGAAGTTTTCTTATGTTTACAAATTGCAGAAAAAATGCGCAATACAACTATTAATGATTTGTGAAGGTATCAAGTTGAAAATCAGATGTTGAATAGATCCATTGCCAATATGGAAATTTCATGTCAACGCTACAAGCGGGAGAATAACGCTGAGCTAGAAGCCATTAGAGCCAAGAACAAGAAGTTGATGAAGATTGTGGATGATTGTAGTAATCTTATGCAAGAGCTTCATAACCACAATGATTTTCTTACAAGGAAGATTCAACAGCAGTGTCTACAGCTCCAAGAATCGGAACTCAAGATAGAGGAAAAGGACGTCATGAAAGAAGCTATGACCCAAGCAAGCAATGTGGCTCACAAATTAGTTGATTTAGCTGGCTTTGCAAGAGAATTGAAGCAGATTAACAAGTCAACACCCGAGCATGAGTGGAAGTTAAATTGGCTCTTGAAGGAGATAGACAAGTTAGGAATGCAAACTATTCATTATATGTAAAGTTTGTTTGATGTACCGAAACCTTTTGTGTTCAATGAAAATTGTTTTAAGATGGTCACTCTGGAATGACACCTTTTGTATTTGCATTTGGCATTTACATTACATGTATTTATTTAAGCATTTTACATGCATTAATTATGAAAACATGGAAATAACTTATGGGAAGTTATGTGTCAGTAATACCAAGATCATTCATTCATACTACTCTTCATCGTCATGAACAAACAAATGGAAACAATAGAACAATCTAATGAGAAATCACAAGATCAATTACAAGAGAAGTTGGTTGAAGATATGAGGAATCAAACATTGGTTTCTCTGCAAGGTGTATCGAATCAAATGACCCAGGTGCTAGCAACTAAGGCTGTTGATAGAGAGGAAATGGATGATAAAAGATACCAGTCTCATGTGACTGGTACATCAAGAGTGATAAATTTACCATGGAGCATCTAATTCAAACCTAGGGAAGAGCCTCGTCAATTATGAGCAATTTGAAGACGAATTCAAGTGGTTGAATGAAGCCATTAAAGATATGAAGGTTGTTAATGCCTCTCACAAGGAGTTAGAAGCTAGGGAACTCAGTTTGGCCCCTGATTTGGTCATCCCACATGAATTTAAGGTGCCTAATTTTGAGAAATATGATGACACTAGTTGTCCTCTAATTCATCTAAAGATGTTTTGTAAAAAAATGGAAGGGTACCTAAATTATGATAATTTGTTGATTCATTACTTCCTTGATAGTCTTGCTGGGCCAGCTATAGTATGGTATAACCGTTTGAACAAAAAACAGATCAAGACATGGGTCAACCTAGCTGATGCTTTTCTGGGACAATATCAATATATTAAAGGCTTAACCCCAAAACGTCATGACCTTAAAAGGATAAGGATGAAAGCTACTGAGAGCTTTAAAGAATATGCCCTAAGATGGAGAGGAGTGGCAACACAAGTTCAGCCTCCTTTGTTAAAAGAAGAAATATCACTTCACGATTCTTTTCTAGCTCTTTTCTTTGAGGTAATGCTGGGAAAATCGACGAATGACTTCAAGAATCTTATGACAGCTGGGGAGTTGATTGAAGATGCAATCATCAAAGGAAACTTGAAAGTCGCTTCCAAAAGTCCAATCGATCAAAAGGGAAAAATTGATGAGGTTAATGAATGTCACGTCCAGAGCTTCCACAGTCGTAAAAGAAAAGGAGCAGCTGGCTCCTCGAGTCGTCCAAAGAAAGTCCCGCGATCGAAAAATACTTTGAAAGTGTTCCAAACTTATATCTCAGATCTGTATCCCCATTTGGTTAAAGGTCAATACCTTACACTGAGGCCAGTTAAAGTGCAACCAGACCCTTCTGCTCACAGCTATGATCAAGATAGTGTCTGTGATTTCCACTAGGGGCATTGGGACATTCTACGGGGAATTGTAGGCCACTGTTAAAGGAGATAGAGACGCTTGTTGAAAATGGGACGTTGACACAAGAATTGGTGAAACAATTGATGACGAGCTCGAGTGGGGCATCAAAGCACATAATGTAGCATCCGTTTGGGTCAGGTGTTGCTGCAATAGATGAGTAATGGGGCATCATAATTAGGAAAAAGTCATTTCATCCGTCATGAAGCCTTATTCCATTTGCAACATCTTGTTTGAAATTGTTTTTTTGTCATTTCTCAGTTGTCTTTGTAAGGATATTTAATCGAACTTATGCTATTTTAAAGATGGTGAACATTGAATCAAATTTGCAATCTTGAAATTCTTTGAATATCAACTGAATTAAAAACTCTTTAAATGATTAAAGTTATAAATCTTTGACAAAATGATAAGATTGAAACATGATAAAACAAGGACATTGACCTTATCCCCAGAAGATATAATCGAACACCGTACCTTTTTATTGCAGGGACTAATATAGCCTTCTCCTATCATAAGATAATGAACAATTGGTATTTAGGTATGCATAGGAGCGGACAACATGGTGCATCTCCTGTGTATGATGTTACAAAACTGACTAGACCACACTTTTGTTGATGACGTTCAATGATGATGAGCGG